ACACAAGTGAGAGCATTCCTGCCCACCGCTCCCCAGCCACCAAACCTAGCCATCGCGTTCCACCAAGAGGTCGCCTGGATAGAAGTCGCCTGAATAGAAGGGACTTGGGTAACAATATGATGGGCCATCTGCAAGGTGTAATTAGGAAAGAAAAATTACATGGGCCGCACAAATAGGCATTCAGCAGTTTTACAATTTCAAAAGCGTTACTAGAAAGAGAGTCCACAACTTCCGCCGTCAGGTCTGTCTGTTGTAACACAAGGCCAGCCATGGTGGCAGCGGTGGCGGAGATGGCAACAGCAGCAACAGTTGCAGCGGTGATCCTGAAGTCCCACTGCTGTCGATAGAGCACAATCTCCTGCCGCTCCTGGGATACCAGGGGAACCACCGCGGGCACTCGAACGACCAGCGTGCCATCAGAGCCATCCCAGCAATCGCTCTGTCTGCAGTCCCTGGAAGAACAATTGAAAACCTCGCCCCCCACAGTGGAGTTCCACAGTACAAAGAAAAAGGGGGCAAGAATGCAAGTGGAGGATTGTATGGTCAAATTTCGTCCGGCGGTATAGTTTATCTTTAGAGATGTCTCAAATATACCCGATTGATTCCAGGTGACCATGGCATTAAAAGCGTGCCCGCATTGCAGCATCATGGGAACTGCATCCAGGCAGGCCTGGGGGCCACAGAGATACCTAGGCGAAAACAAGGGGACTATTCTTGCTCACCGACATCAGGAGTGGGGAGTTTCTTACCAGGCTCCACCTCAGGTGTGTTCTTGCCATTATGACTAGGGTCAGCGTCTGCAGCAGGGGAAGTGCCAGGCTCCGCATCCTGGTTCACTGGTCATACGCAGCGTTCCGGAACCCAGATAGGTTTGTCTGCCCCTGGGAGAAAAACACACACTGCCCCCCTCACCTTTGCCAACATAGGAGTAGGGTCCATCCATCGCCCGGATTGCAGGTCCTTCCACCAGACCCAACAAAGATCACGTGATCTAGCATACGTGTGGCGTTCCATGGGCAACCGCCCTTCCATGTCCACGGTCAAAAAATTGAGAATAAAGAGGATGGTGGACAGCTGGGTGGTCGGGGAGGGGGCATACTCCCCCCTTTTTATTTTTTGAAAATATTGTTTTGAGTGTCTGGTTGGCCCTTTCCACAATGGCCTGGCCCATAGGATTATAAGGGATCCCGGTTTTATGGGAAATGCCATAATATTGGCAAAAGGAAGCAAATTTTTACTGGTATATGTGGGGCCATTATCAGTTTTTATGGTTTGCGGCTTGCCCATGTAGGCGAAGGCCGACAAACAGTGTGCTATAGCATCTTTAGTACGTTCGCCAACGTGTAATGATGCGAAAATGACACCCGAAAAGGTGTCTACCATGACATGGGCGAACTTTAGCCGTCCTGCAGCAGGTATATGTGTGACATCCATCTGCCATAGGTGATTTGGGTGCAAGCCACGCAGATTAACTCCGAGCGTAGGGTCGTGCAAAAAGGGGGCACAGCGGGGGCAGGAGGTTGTAATAGTCTGTGCTGCTTCTCGTGTGCACTGAAGATGGTGTTGGAGGGAATGTGCATTGAGATGAAATTTGTCGTGCAGGTCTGAGGCATGAGCATTAAGACAAATGTGGGTATTTTTATCAGCTAGGTTATTACCCACAGACAAGGGACCAGGTAGCTGCGTATGGCTGCGGATATGCCCAACAAAAAGAGGTTCTGTGTATAGCCATATGAGATACTGAACACAACTTAGTGCGTGTTGGACCTTGGAGGTAGGTGAGACATATGCTGATGTCTCCAGGGGCTTAAATATGTGAGCCATGTACACAATATCCGTGTACAAATTTACAGGTTCCTGTGGAAAGAGCTGTAAGGTGAAGAGGCAGGCCATCACTTCCGCAACCTGGGCGGATACGTCCCCTACAGGGCGCTTCCATACCTTCGTTCCAGTAACTACCACTGCATTGCCTCCGGGGGAGGCGTCTGTAAAGATCGTTCGTGCGGCTGGTATGGGGTTGTCTTTTACTATCCAGGGAAATATAAAGGGGTGATTTTTGAAGAAACCCATCAAAAGATGTTGAGGATAATGGGAGTCTAACTTGCCGGCGAAGGAGGCAAGGAAGAGAGCCCAGCCATCATTATATTGCTGAAAATGTGTCAATTGTTCTTTGGTATAAGGCACTATAACTATGCCAGGCTGTATGCCAAATGTTTGCGTGGCAATCCTAATCGCCCACCACAGTAGTTGTAAGACTGCTTCATAGTAGGGGTAACCACTCTAGCGGGGGACATGGGCATGTGCACCCATAATATAGGTCCCTTTTGCCAAAAGACTCCTGTAGGGGCAAGCTTCGAAGCAAGCACGATGAATTGTAACGGGAGGCTATAGTCAATTTGATGGAGGTGTATGTTTTCGATACTATCTGTAAGAAGTCTTAGGGCTTGTTTAGCTGCAGGTGTTAAGGCCCGGGGAGAGGTGGGATCTGGATTTCCCGCAAGTATCTCATACAGCGGCCTCAGGTCATTGGTTGTAATGGCAAGAAAGGGGCGCATCCATTGAACATCTCCCAAAAACCGTTGCCAATCATGCAGAGTTTGCAAGGAAGAAGTATTTAGAGTCAATTTTTGTGGCCTTACATTACCGGATCCTAATCTGTAGCCAAGATAGGAGTAAGGGGCCTGCATCTGGACCTTTTCTGGTGCTATGAGGAGTCCTACCCTTTCTAGGTCTTGTTGCATTTGGGCATAAGCCTGGAGCAATTGTGGCTGATCGGGTCCAGATAATAACACGTCGTCCATATAATGGACAATGTACAATTGTGGGAAACGGTGGCAGACTGGCTCTAAAGCAGCAGCAACATAAGTTTGGCATATGGTGGGACTATTTGCCATGCCCTGTGGAAGCACCACCCAATGGAATCTCAAGGCTGGCTCCTTAAAATTTACGGATGGAAGACTAAAGGCGAAGCGAGGACAGTCCTGCATTGCCAAGGGAATATTAAAAAAGCTGTCCTTTAAGTCTACTATGATGATATGCCATTCTTGGGGTATGGCGGAGGGGTTGGGTAGTCCCTGCTGAAGTGGGCCCATAGGCTCCATGATCTCATTAACAGCCCTGAGGTCTTGCAACAGTCTCCATTTCCCAGATTTCTTTTTTATAACAAAGACAGGTGTGTTCCAAGGCGAAGTGGAGGGAACAATGTGTCCAGCCTGCAGCTGTTCTTGAACTAGATTATGAGCGGCCTGCAGTTTTTCCTGAGTTAAGGGCCACTGCTCCACCCAAATTGGCTTATTTGATTTCCAAGTTATAGGGAGTGGGGCAGGCTCCGGAACAGTGACCCTGATTAAAAATGGCCCAAACCACGTCGGTCCCCTGACAGTCTGGTAACTTGCTCTTCTGGCGTTAGGGGTTGTGACCGGCCTTGCAGACTCCTTCCCGACCCTCGTCCCAGTTTCCCCCCCCCCAGGCACTGCGTAATTTGGGCAGCGGGGGGTGTCACAGGGTGAGTGGTTAAAACAGCCCCCATTTCCTGAAGAATGTCTCTTCCCCAGAGGTTCACAGGCAGGTCTGAAAGGACATAAGGCTGAAAATAGCCGTTATGGCCCTCAGCATCCTGCCATTTCAATATTTTGGCACTCTTGTTGGGACTGGCTTGTCCTATACCCTGCAGAGTGGCTGTACTGGCTTCCAACGGCCATTTCTTGGGCCATGCCTATAAGGACAGGACGGAGACATCAGCCCCAGAGTCCAATATTCCACTAAATAGTTTACCCTCAATAGTTAATTTCAAGCATGGCCTCTCGTTCATGCGGGCTACCCAAAAAGCTGCAGGGCCGGAAGATCCAAAGCCCCCGCTGCCTCTGTCAGCACGTATCGTGGGGTTAGAGGTAGTAACTGTAGGTATTAGAAGCAGTTGGGCAATGCGGTCTCCTTGGGGGATAACAGTCACATCATGCGTGACTCCCTGATAGTCCGCATCAATCACCCCGGGATGAACTTGGATTCCCCTCAAAATGGTACTACTTCTCCCCAAAATGAGTCCCAGCGTTCCCTTGGGGAATGGCCCATGTACATTCGTAGGCAGGGCTTGTACCCCCATTTGGGCTGTTAAGATTGCTCGGGCGGAGGTACTGAGGTCCAGTCCTGTGCTTCCTGGGGTGGCGCGGGCGAGGTCTGTAATGCGAAAGGGTTGCCCTGTGGGATGAACTGGATACGGCCACTGCCGGAGTAAGTTCCCCTGATTCCTGGCGTCATTGCTCCATACACTGAGGTTCTGGGGCCCTGGAGCGAGGCCCTCCACCCGTTTCCCTGCTGCTGATCTTGGGAAGGGAGCGGCCTTCCGTCTATATCTGTTTTAGATCTGCAATTATTAGCCCAATGGGCTCCCTTCCTACAACGGGGACACCTCCCTGGTCTGGTAGTTGTCCCTTGAGCAAGTTGTGGGCGCTCCCTTTTGAAATGGCCCGAGGCGCCGCAGTTGAAGCAGGTCTTATTGCCAGTGGCCCGGGGTCCATGCCCGGGCCTAAGGGCAGCAGCAATGACCTGGCCCTGAATAAAATGCCCATCAATGTCCCGGCAGATCCGAATATATTCATTTAGACTCTTGGCCCTATGCGAGCGCAAGGCCTCTTTACAGTATTTGTTGGCATTCTCATATGCCAATTGTTTCACTATGGGCATTGCTGTGGCTACATTGCCAAATAGCTTGCCTGCCAACTGTAACAACCTATCTACATAATCTTGGAAGGGTTCAGAGGGTCCTTGTAGGAACTTGGACAACTGATCACCTGACGCCTTGTTGGGGAGAGCCTTCCATGCTTTAGTAGCAGCGGCCACCACTTGCAGATATACTGCAGGGTCGAACACAATCTGATTGGCCAAATCCGCATAGGCTCTGGCCCCTGTCAACATGTCCAAATTACGCTGCGCCTGTCCTGCCTGTGCGTTCAACCGGGCTGTGTGTACGCAATTCTCTTGGTATTCACCCCTCCACAGCAGGTAATCGCCCCCAGACAATACTGCACGACATAACTGTTGCCAATCACTAGGTGTAAGGTTTAACACCGTGAAGGATTCTACGATAGCAAGCGTAAATGGCACCTGAGCGCCGTAAGCGGACACAGCCTCCTTCAGTTGCTTCATTTCTTTGAAGCTCAGGGCCACATGCTGCCTCAGTGCCTGACCGGGGTTATTCGGGTCGGGCACCTCTATAACTGGAGCGACTGTATGCCGAGGCCAAAACTGGATACCCCCTTGTCTTCTTTTTTCATCTCCGATCTCCCAATTGTTATTAATACCCCAATGGGTCACTCCCTGTCCCCAATCTTCACTATAGGCGGGCGGGACTGATGGAGTTGTCGTTATTGGGGTATTTTTGGCCTTACAGTGTTGTAGTTTTTTCTGGAGTGCCTTAATTTCCTGTGTTAACTGTTCCTCCTCATCAAATAAGCTCTCCTCTGTACTAGAGGTGGGGCTACCCTCAGAATCAGAATCTAGATGGGTCTGAGGTATAGCCCGCAGACGCACAGACTTGGGCGTAAGGCCCAAGCTGTCATTAGGTTCCGAAGTTCGTTCAACCATGTCAGACTTTCTGTCCCCCTGAAATCCCTCTGCCGACCTGAGGGATCGACGGGTCTCTTCCTCCTGTATTTCCTCTAGTATTTCCTTAGCCGCGGCAACCTCCTGCCTGACCTTAACTTTGTCAGTATGCAGAGCATCATGGCCTAAGCGCAATAGCGAAAAGATGGAAGTAGGAAAACTATCGGTGCCCTCTCTCTGTAAGCGTTTCTGTAGGTCCCTTTTTACTTGTCCCCAATCTGAAATATTTAAGCCTCCTCCCGTTAAAAACCACGGACTTGCTGAAACCACTGTTCCAAGGAAGGCTTCTATGGTGCGCTGCTTAACTGCCATTCCCTGCTGCTCTAAAAGCTTTGAAACTTGATAAACTAATTCTTCCTTACTATTTGTGGATCCCATTTCTACCCCAATACGTCCTTACCGGTCTAGGATGACCCTGTCCGTTGCTCCCTCTTTCTCAGATCTCGGTGGGACCTCCAGTTTGCCACGCCAGCACGACAGCAGAGATGGTCTGAGCGAAGGACGTCAGGATTAAAGCACACACTTCTTGGTCAGCAAGCAAAGGCACCCTTTATTTTTCTCTCCTTCCCTATTTATACCCTTCAGCATGGAGCCTGGGGCTGGGGGTAGGCGGAAGTTCTCAGCAAGTGCATCAATAACATGCGACAATAACATGGGGGTCAAAGAACAGTCACGTAAACACAAGGTAGCAAACCAAGGCAGGAACACTTCCTGCCTCCTGTTTTTCTGTTCCAGCACCCATGGCTCATTCTTTGTTTCCACACAACAGTGTGCATATGATTCTGTGGGGGAGGTGGGGAGGTCTGTCCAGGCAAAGGACCCAACAGTGTTATAATTTGCAGGCATACATACTTATGTGTTTCTATATTCAGTAAATTGTCACTTTATTTCGCAGCAATCATTCTTACATATCAAATATTATCAATGTAACTTATTTTTTTCCCAAAGTTCACAAGTCTTAACTAGGCAAAATGTAGAGATTAAAAGCATCTGTATAAGCACTACGAAGACACATCAAACTTTTTATTCTGAATTAGTTATTCAACATTGTTTTTCAAATTTATAATTAGTTCAATTTTTCATTTAATGGTTAAATAGGTCAGGTCGGATCTCTAGACAGTTTTCATTTCAATTCTAAATTTTTGGCTTTTGTCATTTTTCATTTATTTTAATTTTTTAGTAAGTTAATATTGTTTTCATTTTTTCTCCATTACGGAATTGTGTGTCCCACCCAGACATTGTTGCCATGGTGCACCCACCACCAAAGAACAATAGTTCACCACCACAGACCCATGTGTTCCTGTCCTTCTTTGTCTATTCTAGCTTTTGCTTTCCCAAGAGGATGGGAAGTTACAAAATAAGAAAAGTGCACAATACAAAAGCACAAAAAGCATCAGACAATAATAATAATAATAATAATATAAAAATACTCACTATTTCTGTGCCCTAGAAAGGATCAATTCCATCTATTATAATCTCTCTCATTCCAGATGATCAGATGTGGCCAAATCAATTTTCAATGCATTGAAAAATCGAGTGTTACTTTATTTAAAGACTGAAAGCAGTGTAGAATCTTCAATTACCAGATCACATTTATATAAGTTTATAACAATTATTACATCACTCTGAACAAGTCATTTAAGAAAGTGATCTTAAATGCCTATAAGTCACTAGAGTCCTGGAAAGAACTCAGGAGAACATTGTCTCTTGATAATAAATGAATTTGAGCCAGTTAAGTTATATTGTGGACACTGGTATTATATATCTAGAAATATTAAACACATGAACATAAAAAAATCTCATATATGGCCCTCCCTGGTGGCACAGCAGGTTAAAGCACAGCACTAAGAAGCTAAAAAACCACTTCAGCATGAGTATGATTACCACTCGCCCTGGAAGTGATCCATATGATGAGGCAGACCTCTCCTGACCCACCGGCTGCTCCCCTCAGCAGTGTACTTAGTGGATCTGCGTGATCTGCTCCCCGCTCTGTCTCTGGTGAATCCTCTCACTGCCCCTGCACTTCTGGCCTGTACCCCAGCTTTGTATGCATAAATAAATAAATCTTTTTTTAAAAAAACTCTCAGATAGGGCCCTTCCTGGTGGCGCAGCGGGTTAAAGCACTGCACTGGGAAGCTGAGGCCACTTCCGCATGAGTTCGATTCCCGCCTGCCCTGGAGGTGACCACATGGCGAGGCAGACCTCT